GGTGGGAGGGTGGTGTTTTGGGGATCCCCCACCCTGGAGGTTTCCCTCACCCAGCGGCATCCCCCGGTGCCAGCGGGGCTGGGGATGGGCAGGTGTCGATGGGGCAGGTGCTGCTTGTCTGGGACCTGGGGATGCTGCAGGACGTGGGGGGTGGCATCCCCTCCTCAAAATTGCCCCCTCCACCAAATCTCCTGCCTGGGGGGCTGGAGGGGGGGGGGCAGATCCCAGGCACTTGGCCCTTGCATCCAGCATCACCCGGCATCTCCTGCTGTTCCAGGCTCTGCCGAGGCTGGATCCGGCCCCGGCTGGTCCCGGCCCCTCCATCCCCCCCAGCAGGGACACTCTGGGGTGGCAGGAGCGGGTGCCACTGCTCCCCTGCCGTCTCCTCGCCCCACTGCTGCGTTTGTTTTCCCAAACCCCGGCCGTAGGAACAACCTCTTGATTAAGTGTATTAATAGTTAAACTTTCAGCTCATAGCTTAAACTCACCAGACCACGAAAAGCTCCCTCCTTTACTCATGCTCTGTTGCTTAAAATTGTGAGGTTTACCAAAAGGTTTTTTTTTTTTTTTTTTTTCCTTCTTTTTCACACCTTTCTATCAACCTCGAGTTTGATATCTTTGATCTGAGGTTTCCTTTCATATCACTGCCTTTTGCTGCTGTTCGCAACATTCTGAGATTCAGGAGCAGCAACAAGAGTTATGAGAAGGGAAAGAACCCAAATGCTACTCACACATCTGCTCAGCTCCGAGGTCAGAGATGCCAAGAACTGTGCCACCTCCTCAACGTAGGGGTACTGGTGCTTGACCTCGGTGAGGAGGACATCTTTCACTACAATCTCCGCAATCCTCTTCATCATGTAGCAGCGGTTGTTTTCCTATGTATGCAAGTAAGAGGTCGTGTTAAATCATGGCAAGAAATCAACAAGTGCTGCAGCAGGACACAAAGAGCCGCCTCCTCGTGTAAGACTTACCTTGACGTTAACATAGATCTGCTGCCCAATGAGCCTATTATCCGTGTCCTCGTCTGAGACCCTGGCCTGAGAGGACAAAAAGGAAATGTCAGGTGGGGCTGGAAACCTTAGCTAAAAATTAATGATTAACCCTACATTTGTCATCAATAGTAGTGCAGGTGAAACGAGGGCATGGACACCACAGACAGTCTGTTACAGGTGGATAACTTGGACATTGTGTCTGTTTTTTCCCTTAATTGAGTGAGATTCAAGACCAGTATCACTGGAAAATAAATAAGCAGAAGTCTGAATTCCTGTCCCCCCTCTGAAGCATCAGATGTCATAGTGGTTATGATGACTAAACCAGACGCCACAGGTGGCTGACCTCATGGTGGCCCACAGCGCTGCTGGGAGGTGCTGCAGCACTCAATGGCGTACACCATGGGGGACCCACTGTAAGGTGCCTGAGGAGCTGCCTGGCCATGCCTGGAGTCACGGGCAGGCCCAGCTTCAAATGGATTTGGGCAAATGGAGAAACTTAAGCTCATGTTTCACAGTCTAGCAGAAGCTGCTCAAGAGAAGGAGCTGTGGTGTGCCAGGGGCTGCCTTTCTCTTGGGGGGCAGGAGGAGGAGAGGCAGCAGCTTCCCCCAGCTATACAACCAGTGGGAAACAGACCCATTTCACATGCCCAAGCCTTGCCTTACTGCAAATGCACATTTTTTCTGGAGAAACACATGAGAAAGAGAGCAGAATGCCGAAGGCAAGAAGCCAGGTCACTGGGAGAAGAGGAAGTCCCCAGATCCCTCCAGGAAGGACACATGGGTTACTGTACCATTTTAGCCAAGGTGTAGGTGCGATTCCTGATGTAGTGTTGCTGGAAGTTTGTCTTCCTGAGCCTGCAGCTCTGATGTGTGGTAGAAGCCAATCCTGCCCCTTTTGGAGGCAGAGGGCTGGTGAGAAGAAGCGGGAGACAGCAACAGCAGCAGAAGAAGACCCATCCTGAGAAGCTCTTGGTCAAGGTCTGCAGGGAGGCCATGGCTCACGATCCAAAGTTGTCTGTTCCAGCAGGTTGGAGCTACAGCACTCAGCACTGTTGAAAGAGAGAGAGCAGTGTTAGCATCAGGGAGAGGGAGTAAGGTAAAGCGAGAGAGGCACGAAGGCTGCGAGCCTTACCTTTGCTGTGATTCTTGATGTGTTCTGCAGGAGGTGAGGTGCACCTTATATAGGGCCACCAACATCTCTCTCAGCTTTTTTTTTGGGTCCTGGTGGTGAATTAAAAATGACATCAGCAAGTCTCTTACTTTCCAGTATCCTCTTCTGAGAACTACCTAACCACTACAAAACCCACAAATACAACTTCAAGGCCACCGTAATCTTTAGTTTCTTATAAAACAAACCAAATTTTAACGCAGGGCAAAGCAGGGGCTTTTACTGGGGCAAGAATCCTGAATACCCTTTGCATAAAAATATTTGAGAAGTTTATGTCTTTGTGCCTTCTGTCCTGATTGTAATACACTAATTGGATTGGCAATTTGATGACAGATAATGCAATTTACTGAAATTTTTTTTCGTCTTCTGTGGTAAAAGCCTGATGCTCCACTGGTGCTGACCGGTATACACAAATGGCCAGAGACTGTGCCAGACCCAAAGTACTCACCACCCTGCAAATCTTCCTTCCCTGCAAACACCCTTTTCCACACAGTGGCCCAATGGAGTCACCACCCACCCACCCATCACTGTACAATCTTCCCTGAGAGATCAGAAACCGAGTAGGACCAACACTGCATTTATCACATCCCCGATCTCCAAATTCCCACTTTCCAAAAAATTATCCATATTCCAGGCCATAACTGGGGGTAATCAAAACAGCTGTGGTCAGGCACTTACTTATCCAGGTGATTTTCATGTTCCTGACCCTGTTCTGCTAACATAAAGGCTGCGCTGCACCTTCAGACTGAAATATCAGGCAGGGTGCTAAAGGGAAACTGTGCTCTCTTCAGAGAGTAATTTGCAACCCAGCTGACATGGTAATGTGTGAGGACACAGAACTGGTACAAATGCAAACTCCTGCATGTGTAATGCCCACAGGGCACACAGGTGACAAAGCAAGAAATCTGATCCGGGAAAAGCAAGGCTCCAGCTCTGCCTCTGAGAGTGAACAAGGACATCCCTGGGGCTGGGCTTCACCCCTCATGACTGAGGCTCTTGGGGCAAAAGCCATAATCATCTTTACCTTGTGGGATGAACTACCCATCTTTTTTGCTTATACTCAAAAGGAAGCAGTTGAAGGCTGGCTGGGACCAGGGTTATTCTTTACCTTCCCCCGATGCATCTGCAGCATGAATTCATCTCCCCATGCCTCAGCCCTGCCTCAGTTGCCCTCAGATACCTGCCACATCAGCTCTGCACAGCCCTTGAAGCTGCATCCCGTCACCCTGGAGCCATCATCACCATATCCTTTTCCACACCCCTCTCAGGGTATCCCACCCATTCCCATGCCCGGCCTCCAACAGCATCCTGACTGCAGCGGGCAGCAGAAAGCAGGTCTGGACCCAGGACGTCAACAACCTAGTTCACACCCCAAATATACCGCCAGGATATTCAATAACATGTTTATAAACTCTTTTCCATAAACTTTTTTGTTTGCCAGGCTAATAGGCCCAGTGGGGGAGCTGGTTAATGAGAAGGTGGGAGGCTGAGTTATACTTAGGCAAAAGACAGACATTAAAGACCAAACTGGGAGAAATCCAGACAAAGAGACTGTTTTGAAGGATTGGCCTTCCCTGAAGTGCACTCCCCTGAATGCCTCTCCAGGTGCTAAACACAGTCTGATAACCCAAGTCTGCTTCTAAGATTCCTCGCCCTTCTCCACCACATCATCCAGCAGAAGCCCCAAACCCAGAACAAAAGCTGTGAACAGGCATGCAGACTCTCCCTGGTCCAAACCCCACATCCTCCTGCTCTTCTGGCAGATTCCAGCTCTCCATCCCTTTAGGCCCTTACACTTGTCAGACATGGATTCAACTTGCCTGACCTCTTCTCACAGCTCCGACCCTATGGAAAGGGTTCATGCCCTGGCTAAGCAGCTGTGGTGCCACTCACATCTGTTCAAACTGCTGCAAGGAGCCCCACCTGGTCCCAAGCTTCCCACCTTACACATATTCAAAGCACCTGACACATATTTAAACAGCATGAGGCAGAGGGATGAGGAATTAGATGCTAAATCTTTCTATGGCCCTCTTTTATGCAGTCGTTACAGGATCTCTTCTGTCTGTTATCTCTAATATTGGAAACCATACACAGGGATGCATGTATTTTCAGAGAAAACATTGTTAGGCTTGATGAGGCTCTCTTTCTCCCATGTATATTGTTAGCCACTTCTCTCAGTCATACTCCTTTTGGGCTGTGCCATGATGTCTTCCTCCCGAGGTTTTAAAAAAGCTTAATTTCACTTGTTTACCTCCCTGCCTCTTGTGTTCACCTTCCAGACACTGAAATGCTGAAATGCCCATTGTGAGTCTGTTAATTCATATCTCACAGAATCACAGAATTGTATGGGGTTGGAAGGTACCTCTGGAGGCCATCCAGTCCACCCCCCCTGCCAGAGCAGGTCCACCTAGAGTAGGTTGCCCAGGAATGTCTCCAGAAATGGGGACTCCACCACCTCTCTGGGCAGCCTGTTCCAGTGCTCTGCCACCCTCAAAGTAAAGAAGTTCCTCCTGATGTTTAGATGGAACTTATGTTCAAGTTTGTGCCTCTTTTTATGACATTCCTAAAGCTTTTGCATTATTTAACCTTTTGGTTGTAGTTGTGAATTATAACAACCTATCTTCCATTATAACAACCCTCTAGCTTGTTGTGAGTATGGTCCAACCGAAAAGTGAACATTCAAAATCTTGGTGGATGCTAATTTTAGTATACTTTGCGGTTCTCCTGCTCATCAGTCCACTCTTGGCTTCTTCCCAACTGCTTCCCAGCTGGTGGCAGCTGGATCTGGATGTACCACTGAGTTACGGTCTTGCCGCAGCCGTGGCTGCAGTTATCCTCTGTAACGTCCAATTTCTTTGGAAGTGGAGATACAGCCGTGGCTGCAGTTATCCTCTGTAACGTGTCAAGAGAATTTCTTTGGAAGTGGAGATATGCCTCCCATTCCCAGGGTCTGCTACTTCTGTTATGAGCTTGCAATTGAACAGGAAGGTGACTAGTCACTGCTATCACCTCTTCTGACTAGCTCACCACACCCTGTGTGGGAGATACACGTCCAGCATTATGTCCTACGGAAAGATGGGGCTGAAAACCTGCACATTCCTACCACTGGATCTTACTCCAGTCCTCAGCTGAAGTCCAGAGAGGGAGGAAGGAATCAGAGGCTTTTCTGCTGCAGTTGAGAAAGAATTTCTATTTCTTCTTGTTTGAGGAAGAAATCCAATAAACCTCTGATAATTAAGGGCTTGAGCCTGCACAGAAGGTGAACCTCAGGGAAATTGCTTACCTAGAAAACCCTCACCAAAAAGACTGGTCTGAACTGTAGAGCTGGCAGAAGAGATCAGTGGAAGGAAAACTGCATTTAATTTAAAATGTGGTGCTCTGGCTGAAACCATCTCTGGTGGGTCTTACTTTGGGGAGAAAGAATACAGTGGAAAAAACGCATCTGAAGAACCCATCTTAAAAGATCAGCCTTTCTCACTAATTCTTTCCTACTCTGAAATTGTCAGGTGTTCTAGCAAGTGGTATGGGAACTGGTAATTTCTTTTTGACCTTCAACTGCTGATGTCTTATGATGCATGATGGTCCCAAGTTTGTCTTTAAAAAACAATGTTCTCTTGAAAAAAAAAAAAGAAAGAAAGAAAGAAAAAAGAAAGAAAGAAAAAAGAAAGAAAGAAAAAAGAAAGAAAGAAAAAAGAAAGAAAACAAGCAAACAAACCAAAGCAAACAAAACCACAGGGGAAGGAGTGAAACAGGGAAAGAAAAAAGTAATTTTCCTTTTTAATTTTATTACTTTTTCTAGGTTTAATGTTATTTTTAATGTTTGAGGCTAGCAACTTTTTAAAATACAAAATTCTTACAAGAACACATACCTGCTATGCTTTTATTTTAATTAAAAACTACCAAAGACCTCTGAACTTCTATGAAGTACCCTCTGTATTGTTTTTTATGCATAATTAATTGTTTAAAAAATTTTGAAATTGTGCAAAAATCTTGTTTTCCCCCAGTGCCATCCCAAGAGCTAAACGTCTATCCTTTCTTGAATGACCTTGCCGATAAACTTTTAAACTGTAATTAGATGGAGTTTCCCTAATTCATTAGAGAAACCATAGCGGTTGAATATTCTCGACAATGACTTCTTGACCCATATTGAAGGCAGAGGATTTTGTGAGGAGGACTGGAACTCTACATCACATCTGCCTCAAAAGCCACAAACACTTCCTTCTTGCTTTGAATGAGGCCACAGGTGAATAACCAATACTGTACTTTGATGATCATCTGTTGTGTATCATCAACAGCACACTGGCACGCAGGAATTTTCTTGATTTTTCCATTAGCTAGACTTGTATTAGAATTGGTATTAGAATTAGAATTAGTATTAGAAACATCCTCGGGATTGGACACTGGGCTAGAAACACTGTCAAAAGTAGGCACGCGGAAGACCAAGCCTGTGTATCATCCTCTCAGGTCTTTTACCTGGCAATGAAATTCTCTCCCCCTTAAATATCTGTAAGAACGGACCACAGGTCACATGGTGCCTAAAACTGACCAGGCAATTGATCTGGAAACACCCTCAACTTTCAGGTCACACTCATCCCCTTCACATTGTTCCAGCTCATTTGTGAGCTAGTTCATTGCATCTTGTCTCAGTTCTTCTCTGCTTTTGCCTAAACTTTCAAAATTGAAAAGATTAAAGCAGACTTAAAAAATGTTTCAGCTCATGCTCCAGCGGAGCCTTATTTTAGTCGACTCTGTGCCCAGCAATGAAAACATCAGTAATGGAAGCTGATTCTTCTTTATAAAATCTGAAAGCAAGCTTTTCTGTAATTC